AACCACCCACTTAAAACTGGAACAGTTCTGGTGTAGTGTTATTGTGGTTATTATATATAGAAACTTTTTTCTTGCTAATATAAACATAAAATACAAATGTTTAATAAAAATGAAGGTCATTTGTAAGACAAGTGAGATGCTGTGTCTGCTAATTTCTCCAGGCAGGTGAGGCATGTGTCTATTTGACAGGAGTAAAAGTCAGGTCACTCTGAAGAGCTCTTGAAATTCCACCCCTCTTTTATTTGCATTGGATGACTGCTAGACATTTATAGGATTGAATCGATAAACTTTCGCTTCCTTCTTGTTCACATCACAGCTCATAATGACATTTACAGTAGTTAAAAGGTCACTTGATTTCTCTTTATGTTTTGGAGAGAAAAAGGTAGAATTATTTGGAATGTATTTCCAGAAATGAGAAAGTAAAAACTGTCTAGAGTATAAATAACAAATAAACTCTGCTAGTGACCTTTTGGTGATATCTCCTATGCATTATTCTAAAGCCATTTTAATTATGTTTTTAACAGTGCTGTAGTTTTGGATGCCAGATGTGAAAATAACGACTATTTGATGTGTGCATTTTGGCCACCAAAATCTGACTTCTATTTTTTTATACAAAAAGTTTTCATTTGCTTTCAATGTTCTTTCAAATGATGCTGCCCTTTCTTTGTTCTTAATTCAATAAGGATTTGTATGAGTAGCTCCCAAGAATGTTATTAGGAATTACAAGAATGATTTGCATGTAGTGGAATGAATATATTACCTTAAAAGTCTTTAACCCCCAAAACAAACTGAAATAGTCTGTGAATAACAAATGTAATAATGACAGGTTGTGGCTCTGAAAGGTACAAGTGAAATTTTATGAATACTAAGGAGCATGTTTCAAAGTACCACTCTGTGTTGCTCATAACCATCCTAAGCTGTATATTCAACAGAAAATAGTTCATTTCTGCTAAGTTAATTATTTAAGACAGGATAGCTTTCAAGTATGATTCAAGTCATATTGTTACTGGCCTGATGAAAACGTAACGCAAATTGCTGATAAGTTTGTCTTGTCATACCCTATAGTATCTTTCTGTAACATATAATGAGTGATAGAAATACACTGTGATATAGATATAAGGCATCATTACACCACCAGGCTTTTCTATGTCCAAATGCCACATTATATTTTATTACTATATAAATCAAGGAAAAAAAAAAATTATAATAAGCCCCAAACAACTGTATAATCTGTTTTAACAATATAATATTATAAAGATTAAATTCTATTAATGTTCAATTAGGAACTAATATGCATGTGTTGACAGAGGCATATTTCATTAAATACAGTCGTTAAAAAATGCTTTCACATGCCCAGCAATATCCTTAATTTCTTTTGTTTGAGACAGAAACATCAGAAGTCTCAAAGTAAAGCTAAATTCCAATATTTTTGGGCTTCTAGAGAAGTTCTGATTTTCTATTAGAGATAAACAAGAGATATTCAAAGGACAGAGTATGTTCAGATGGCAACAAATTATGTGCAAGGTATGCTACTTTGCTAAAGAATACTGAGAAAAAAATGAAAATTCAGATCTTTTATGAGCAGATAAACAACAGAGCCAGACACGCAGAGATGGTAAAGATCATTCTGTTGTGGTCACTGCAGTAGTAGTGGTGACATAAAAAGACTGAGGCATAAAATGTGCATGAGACTGCTAAGTCCATCAGAGTGAATTAATTTCCATGTTTTCTTTCTCCAGTATTTATGACACCTTGTCAATCATCTGAAATCCCCTGGAGATATCAGACACTGATTGAAACATTATTTGTATCTTTTCCCCTATATGTATGTACGTATGTATGTATGTATGTATATTCTTTCTATTTGAAAGAAGGTTACAAGGTCTGAAATCCTTTCAGGATATCAGACATTGATCAAAACATTATAGCGCTTTTTTTTTTTTTTTTTTTTTCCCCCACATATATATATATGTACATTTGTATGTATAGTTCTATTTGAAACAAGGACATGTGAAAGTGTGAAGGTGAAACGTACTTGCTCTGGGAATTCATGCTTTCCTACAAGCTGGGCTGTAAAACAAATTTTATCACAACTGTTTCATTAACTGCTGCATTGATACTATTCAGCCTGGAATGGAAAAAGCAGAAACAAAGCCTGAATCTTTTGACTTTAGAAGGAAGTAAGAGTCCTCCCCCTTCTCAGACGGGCTGGGTGAGATGTGCAGCTATTAACGGAACAAGGAAATAATTCTCTGTCATTCTGTACTCTGGAGGATGTTCTGTGTGAAGAAATGAGTGTGGGCAGAGACAACTAGTCCATTGTCTTTGGAATCTGGTGGGAAGAGTAAATAACCTGATGAATGAACAATTTAAATATATACTGTATTTATTTTTCAACTTAGTATACAGAATGTTGACATTTCTTAACTACACTTACCTGACTGCTTGTTGAATAAATTCTTATGCTGTCTGTAACAGCAGCAGTTGAAACACTTGTTCCTGTTTGGTTGCTTCTCAAACAATAAATAAATTACAGTAACATCTGTGGAGAAAGAAACTTTTATACCAGGAAATGTTCAAAGAAATATAATGGCATCCAGAATTGAAAAGCTGTATGAATTTTTACAATGGGATTAGATTTATAGCAAGATGGCTTTAATTTTAAAGCTGTGGCTTTATCTATTGTGCTAATTTTAATACCTATTCTTCAGTCATAGTCTATCCCACTGCTACCAACAGTGCAAACAGAGCTTCAAGTGTTTTAATATAATATCAAATAGCTGGAGTGAGCAGCATTTATATCAGCACAACTGTTAACAATAGGACGAATATCGTGTTGAGAAAGAGTACTAATTTTCCTATCACTGATGCAATGTTGGTGACTAATATTTCGGGACAAATTCAATTATCAGTTCTAAACTGAACTCCACTGAAAGCACATATTAAAAATCAGAGTTAAAAACCTGAAAATAAATCTACATCCTTCCTTATAACTAAAAAGGAAAGTGACTACTCTTTAACAGAATTATTAATATTATTTTTCTGAAAATTTATTACTACAAGAGCAACAGCTGAGGTTAAATATATTTGTATATGTACTAGAAGAATAGGATTTTTTCCCCATCTTCTGAAGAAGCCATTTATTATTGCTTAACCTTAATAGAGTTAGATTTGAAATTCATGTTGCCCTTTGTTGCCATTGTAGATCAGACCTTAAATGAGTTTAATAGAATTTTAATTCCAGTAGGGAAAGAATCGTTGTAATATTGACCAGTCTTACTTATTTCCTAATTCTTTCCTGCACTAAAACCATTATGAGGAAAGAAAGAAGACATATTTCTAACTTCTAGTGTTTAAAACCACATAAAATAAGTTATTTATTTTCTTAATAATTTTTCAGTTTACTGAATTTTACTGAGTTTTAGATTTGATACTGTTACAGTTTAAATGAATAAAATTCATATATCTGGACTAGCTGTTCTGAGCTAGGTGTTTAGAGTGTTTGGGAATGCTTAGAAAATGTAGCTGAATTCTGGGAAAATTTTGATGGAAAATGAGATTACTTCTTGAACTGGGTGTAGTTTTTTCACTAAGCTTTCTTGAGTTTATTACAACTTGAACACTACTATAAAACATTACTAGCTCCACTGATCTGCTTGGTGTGAGTATGAGCAATGCTTCCATAATGCTAATCAAACAAGCAGAGAGTGGAAATTACCTAAATACCTTTGATACATAGACATAACTTAAATCTAGGAATGTTGGAAATCTGAGGATTGGGTATCCATCTACTGTTTCTGTGAAACAATTATTGCCACTTTCAATTCTATCATTGTTCTACTGATTCCTTCTCATTTATTGACCTCCTTTCTAGCCCAATCTAATATATGCTCATGTAGGCACAGTGTTCAGTATCAGGTGCTATGCACTGTTGTCAGCAACATGTCTCTAGTCATCAATGTGCAAGAAAAAATATATTTGTAAGCCTGCAGAACTTATTATAAAGCTGGGATAAATTTTCACTACTAGCATTTATCCTTGCAAAACAAAGGTGATTTTCTAGAGTTTCCTCATCTGTACTTTTCTGATATGAGAATTTTATTTTTATTTTCTTTGGGTCTTTTGGGGTCTTTTTTGTGTGTTGGTTTGTTTGTGGTGGGTTTTTTTGTTTGGTTGGTTGGGGTTTTTTTTTGTTTTTTTTTTAGGGGGTTATTTGAGAGAGAGACAGAAATCAACTTCCTCGGTGGCTCCTCTTCTTTGACTCAATGTGGGTTCTGTCTATCTGAAAATCTATTTTGAAATTCATTCTGAAATTTTCTCTGATCAGGAAAGATCAGGAAATATCTCTCAGCAGGGATCAGTTTCAATGAAGCAAGTAGCATTAACACGAACAGGGATTACATATGAGTCACAGTTATGGAGGTGTTTGGAACAGTGCGTGGTGGGTATTTTCTAATTTGATGGTGGTTCACTGACTTGATCCTGAGCGAATACTTATTATTCAGTATTGTGTTTCAAGTACAGTCTTCTAGCAACAAATTGACAGATAATAACTAAATATAGACTTCGCTATTATATTCAGCTCTGCAATAATTTATCCTTATCACAGCCTAGTGCAGTGGGCAAATATTTCTATTCTATTGATAGGAAAGCATGACACTGCTAATCTCCTATGAGCTGCTGGTTGGAAAACAAGTGTCCTGTTTGCAGTGGTCAATCTTTTTGAAGTTTTCACCAAATCAAGGCGACGTACAAATCCTTAACCTGGAGAAGATGATTGTTTCTGGAACATCCAATTTAAGACCTGTTTTCATCTAATATGGAGCAAAGCTCTGAACATTGAACCCAGATTTCAGCCAATTGCTCTTAGCTGCAGAGGGAAAAAAAAGAAACAGAGGGAAAAGAGAGGATGGATTAATTTTGTTAGTCTCATTCAGATCTGAGAAAACAATTCAAAGAAACCATCATCAAAACCAGCATCTTTTGAAGATTTATTCAACAAAACAGCATACTTCACTGGAAACATATTTTGTTAAAACATTTAAAAAGCTCTAAATAAATTATTTACAGTGCTTTAGCTATGTGATTTTATGTGGTATTTCATGATAAATTTTATTTAGTAGAAGTAGTGTTATCTTTTTCACTGCTGAATATATATTCAAAGACATTTATCAAGAAAAAAAATCAAAAAGCGTTTTGGAAAGCAATTGCTAATTACTTCAAAATAAAAATTAGCTTTAAAAATCCTTATAATGCACATTTGAGGAGACACATATACATAAACATATATATTCTTATATGAAAATCAACTTCTATGTAAATTCATTTATCATTTACCATTAAGGTTGCCACACTCTGATAGAACTTCTATATGCTCCTTAGTTTAACATAATTATATCCTACTGAATGTCCAGAGTTAGACTGACAGAAGTAGTACCAAGGAAATCAGCAGGAAACAAAACAGCTGCAAGAAAGAAGATGCTGCGATCAGTAATGCTGAGGCTGTGGGATGCCCAACCCCAGATTGGTATCCCCTAGGCTAGAAAAGTTTGCTTTTTCCAGACTAAACTTGGAATACAAGTACAAACTGAACTTGAAGTGTACAATTCTAGGTAGCAAGGGGAAAGAAAGACACTAACTTTAACTGATGAGAGAGAATGTAGACAGATATTGCAATAAGCAATCTGCTCATTTCAGTATAAAGAAGAAAATAAGTGGACTAAAGGGAATGTAAGAAAGCTTTCTGGGGAAAAGTAAAGCAGAGAGCTTATTGTTTTATGGTTTTATGCTATGTGCTACTTATTGTGAAAACAATACATTAGTAGTCTATTCAGAAGCTGTCTTCTAGTTATTTTAATCATTCTGTTGTTCATAAAGTCCTGGAGGATAAAAAAAAAAAAAAAGAAAGTTAATATGCACCAGAAGATTTAACATTTGTGAAAAAAAGTTCAATGCATCTCCTCATTTAATTAGTGGTAAAACTGTGCAGTTCCAGAGTTAAGGGAAATTAAGGCAGTCAGATTTATAATATATAGGCTTAAGATATATTTGTAGAAAGTTGCTCTCAAATGCCCCAAATGTGGAAGGCATTCCAAAGGAAGTAATGTAATCTTGTAGTAAAACAAATTTCCTGACTATTCATCCAAAAGCTTATTGGAATTCAGTCTGACATCCAATTTGTAGATACCCACAAAATAGTATGAAGTCTTGATTACTCTTTAAGATTTGATTTTACACCACAACGTGTTTTTTCTGGTTAATTAATTGCAAACATTCGTTTGTCAGCTCTTTATAAACAGAAATAAAAATGTATTTATATTATCTACCAATTCTCTCTGGATCAACAATTTATCACATCAGAACAGTGAAAATATTATCTGCAAAAATAAAGGAGGGGAAGAAAATAAACCACCCTAATTTCTTCAAGGGATTGTATAAACCATACAAAACACTGGATAGGAAGGGTAAACTTCAACTATGTCCTAGAAGTGAAAGCTCAGCAGTTCTTTCAAGAAAGTACATAAGAGGGAGGTAGATCAAGGGAATTTGTCTACTTGTATTTACATCAGCTCTTCCGAATCTGTTTTGTTAACGTTAGTTGCAGTAGACAGATGATAAAATAATGAATCCTTTCTAGTTCTGCAGAACAATTTGAGTCCCTTTGGACCTAATGTCAGTGCAATAAATGTTACAAATGGCTAAAAAACTCTTAGCTGTTTTTTCGTCTTTCAGCTCAAAGTTAAATTTAAAATTTCCAAACTAGGAGAAGCAACTAGTTTTTTGAGTGCAAACAAGTATAAGAGTGAAAGAATTAAAGAAAGGGAGAGAGGAGAGGGTGAGGCAATATATTAGTAACAATTTTATATATTGATTAGACTTTATAGACTACATATACAGGGAGAGGGAGAGGGAGAGGGGGACATTTGCAGACAAACTTATATACCTAACACTAATTCACAGGAATAATGGGCATTAGCTGCTGTTATTTCAAATGAAAAATATTAAGGATGTTCCAAACAAGTGGAAAAAGCCCACTAAATGATACTATAAACACAATACCTGGACCCACACTGAATGAACTCAAAACATACCATTGGCTCTAGGCGATACAGGTGCCCACTGTGAATCAAGCCAGTCTGTTTCTGTATAAAGATCAGTATACCTGGAAATACTGCTTTTGTCCTTGCCATTCAGAAGTTTTTCTTCAGGCGATAAGGAAGAAAATACTCTCTGTATTTCAAGACTATGAAGAAAACCTCAAGGCCAAAATGTCACCATCAGCTTTTTTCATGTTCTGTGAGTACTTTAAAAAACCCCAAGTTTTGTTTGATTTGTAGCCAAGTCATCTGACATGGCACAGTAGCACTGAGACTGCAGGATGTTCAATCAGTGTTGGGCACAGGGTCAGGAGTTCAAGAAGGTACATGGACTAGGGGATGCAAAGGCAGATGAATGGAATATATTTTGTGTGGATATATATTTATATACATACATACAGGTATATGCATATATAGTGCTTTAAAAATAGGCAGCCCAGCAACACCTATTGAGATTACTTATTTGTTGGAAGGAAAAAAAAGAATGTGATTCTAAAATATGGATGAATATGAAAAATATATGCAATTTTTTTTATATGAAGTGAGTTGACCCAGAGGTCAAGTGTAAGGAACTCCTATTGGGTAATCACCAGGAGACTGAATTTGTCTACTACACAGGTCATGGTACACAAGATTTTGATAGCTTCTCTAGAGGTTGGAAGTACAGAACTGATTTTATAATCTGTGATGGACAATAGCTATATATCTATTCTGTTTCCATGATCCTTTAAAAAGGGAGAAACTTGGTCTGCAGGAACTCCCTAAGAAGGTGGAACTTTGTCCTCACCTGGAAGAAAGTGAATAAAGTAAGAAATATAATCTTTGAGACTGAAGATTTTGAGACAGGGCTAATGCAAGGAGATGGAAGTTTGCAGCACAAAGAGCGACTGCTGAGGAGAACAGACAGCAGCCTGGGAGATCTCAGAAATGACAGCAGGGACTCCCTGAAGACTAGTGGAAAATGAAGTAGTTGTTGCAGTTTGGTATTTATAAAGTTATTTTAAAGTTTTCTGTGCTGTCTTCACTTGTTTTTAAATCTTCTTTACTATGTAAATTCTAGTAGAGATTCTATTTAGTGCTTTTTGATCTTCTTGGTGATCTCACTATGAGGAAGAAGTCAAGAAAGATTCATCCCATAATTCCAGCTGACCTCATTTTTTTCAGCCCATTCTTTAAGGATTTCTATGGACCTGTGCTGTGGTTTGAGCTCAGAGAGTAACTGAGCACCACACAGCTCCTTGCTCATTCCTTCTGCCTCAGGAATGGGAAGGAGAAATACAACAAAAGGCTCTGGAATCAAGATGAGGACAGGGAGGTATGACAATCGTTATGGTCATGGGAAAGAAACAGACTTCTTGGGGAAGAAAAAGCACATCAATTTAATTCAAACATCACCACCACCACTTAACAAAGAGTAAAAGAGTGAGAAGCATAACCACATCTTAAAAAAAACCCCCTTCCTCTACCCTTCTCTTCATCAGAGGCTCACCTTTGCTCCCAATTTCTCTACCTCCTCTTGCCCAGTGTCACAGGGAGCAGGGATCGGGGGGGTGCAGTCTGTTCCACCACTCTTTCCTCCTCAGGGGAAGAACTCCTTATACTCTTCCTCTGCTACAGCACGGGCTCCCTCTTATGGGACACAGTCCTCCATGAACTTTCTCTGACATGAGTCCTTCCCATGGGCCACAACTCTTCCTGAGCTGCTCCAGTGTGGTTCCCTCCTGCATGCTGCAGCCCTCTCAGTGCCAAACTACACCTTCTTTGGGTGCAGCTACCTGCTCTGGTGTGTGCTCCTCCATGGACTACAGGTGGGCATCTGCTCGACTGCTACAGACTTGCAGGGGCACAGCCAGCCCTCTCACCACATGCTGCAGGGGGGAGTCTGTGCTCTGGTGCACCTCCCTGCCTCTTACTGCTCTCTTCTTTCACTAACCTCAGTGCTTCATAGTTGTATCCTTCACAACCCTCACTGCTGCTCCCAGGTTTTCCTTCTTAAATAGAAAAAAAGAGGTGCAGCCGTCACTGTTAATTGGCTCAGCCTTGGTGCAGAGGTGGGTTCAACTTGGAGCTGGGGGTGCTTCAAGAAGCTTTTCACAGGTGCCACCACTCTAGACCCCTTCTCCACTACCAAAACAAACCCAAGACAATCTGCAATTGCAAAAATAACTTATAAACTTTTCTTATCTCCACTACCTCATCTTCTTCTGTCAAGAACCAGCAATATCTTTGCCCCTATCCCTGTTGCCACCCTACTTAGTATAATATGTATATAGTATACTATAAAGAAAGCCTCAGAAATATTCAGGAACAGTAACTATTTTGGGTACTTGAAAGTAGGGAAGCAAAAATACTTACAGTAAGGTCATGATGTGCCTATTCATGCTTATATCAAAAATATCCTGCCTGTGGTGAAATGATTCACTTTGATTTGGATAAAAGTTATTCCAGGATGACAAATGGTTTTCAGAACAGCTAACAAAAATATTAAAACGTTGTCTTCTTAAGGCAATATTTTACTTACACTTATCATTGCTCAAGAAATGTAGTACCTAATTTTGCATAGGTACATGATATCTTTTAATCCTAAAATTTTAAAATCTGAAAAATTAAATGTGGGTCATTAGGTGAGAAGAGAGGACATCAACAGTATGGTAATACAATAGCAAATGTTTTTCCAGTTCATAGGTATTTTAGTTTTAATTTTAAAGCTTCACACCAATTGTTTAAAAAAAAAAAAAAAATCCTTGCTATTGTTTTCCAGGTTAGAAAATTATTACAGGAGATAAGGATTAGAAGGATAAAAAGGAATATAGGCCTTTCAGGACAGTCTGTTCTCTGACCCATGGGGCAAAATGTCCAAATAATGAAATTAAATTATTGTCCTTTGCACAATTATTGGCACTGGCTATGAAAAATTAACACCTTAAAGTGGACATTGGCGGTTTAATTATTACCTTGTTTTTCTTAAGAAGTAAATGCTTAACAGTCTTGCTCTAGGGATTAGGGTAGAGCTGAAAGTAAGAAAGAAAGAATGGTAGAGTTTGTAGTTTTCTAATACTTTATGCTATTTATTTATTTTATGTTTAAGTCTGTGGCTTTCTGCCATGGGAAAAGAAATGTGGTTGTTATCGGTAGCTCGAGGGCTATCAGAGTGCACACCATCTATTGCAGGGCAGACAAAGTGACAAGAAAGTGGTAGCCTGCCAGAGGGTGAAAGAAAAGGAAGGAGATAGTAAGAAGACAGTGAAATAAAGAACATATGAGGGGGGAAAAAATGGTAGAGGGGTTAATGTGAGTTAAGCACAGTGACAGAAATGAAGTCAAGAGGCTAAAAAGTGAGTTCACTCCCGAAAAATGAAAGTCCAGTAGGAAACTAGGCAATAAAATGAAATGTAGTAATTAGAAACCAAGATATTTTGTACTATCCAAAATATTTGGAACAGGATCTGCCATTGGAGCTGGATAGCCAGCTTAAGCAATGCTGTTTGAGAGGATCAGTCAGCTGTAGTGTGCAGAACCAAACATAAAAAGCAAGATAAGAAGAAACATGTGAGGCATCAGCAATTCCTAGCACCGGTTCTAAAGCACAGGCAGAGCAGGCAGTTGGCTAAGGCAGCAAAATATTAAGGGCAGTATATTGTTTAGTGACCATTTATTGTGGCAGTGGAGGTTCATCTGCATGAACATTTTCCAGATTGCCCATGGCAGCCAAAATTGTAAAGAAGGTGCTGCTAGTTTCAGTCAAATATCATCAGTAAAAAGATCAGGTTTTTTTAAATGATGGAAAAAATGCCAAAATGACTCATCAAAACTAGAAATGAGAATCATTGGAATTATTCCCAAAAGTCTATTTTGCATTTTACAGCTGTAATTCCCAATGTGTGTGTGTGTGTGTGTGTGTGTGTGTGTGTGTATGTACGCCACTGGTTTTGGTTTGTGTGGTTGGTTAATTTTTTTCAGAAGATATTCTGATGCCAGATCCTATGGCTTCTGGAAAGGCTCACATTTGTGCAGTCATCCTCAATACCTAGGAATCTTTCAGTGACCTTAAAGTCAGATCAATCTGGCCTGAATCAAAGCACTGTACGCTGTACACTGTATCACACTGTACAATGTAAAAAAAATAAAAATAAAAATAAAAATAAAAAAAAATTGGCTTCTAATTTTTTCCTATGTATTGTATTCCATATTTTCATAGTTTTATATGAGGAATTGCCCTTTGTGTTTGAAAATGAGTTTCTGATTTTCCATTTTCACTTTTTTTATTGTCT